AAATTCCAAATTGACACCAGATTATATAACTACCACAGTGTTCATGGATTGGAAGACTTCATATTATGAAAATGTCAATACTACCCAAAGTGATCTACAGATTCAATGAGATCCTGACCAAAATTCCAGCACCCTTCTTTACAGCAATAGAAAAACCAATTCTCAACTTTATGTAAAAATGGCAAGAAGGCACCTGATTTTAAAACATGCTGTACAGCTATACTATTTAAACCAAGCTACTGGTATAACAATAGACAGACCAAAGGAATAGAATTGAGAGTCTAAAAATGAAGTCATATATCTGTAGTCAGCTGAGTTCTGACAAGGGTGATAAGTCCATTCAGTGGGGGAAAGAAGAGTCTCTTCAATAAATAGTGCTAAGAAAATTTGGTTTCTATGTGCAGAAAAAGGAAAGGAGATCCCTACCTTGCACTCTGCACATAAGGAAATTTAAAATGGTTTAGAGTCTTAAATGTGCAAACTTAAACCATAAACTTCTTAGAGGAACAGAGAGAGGCAGCACGGTGATTCTAGCTTCCAACAATGGATTCAGTATCACCCAATGCAAATTTCGATGAGACTGAGGTTAAACATGCCCCTCCCTACCAATTCTCCCACCAGGCTGACCCTCACTTGGCATGTTTTACTTTTTAGCTGGGTTTGATAGTTCATGACAATGGCCACACAGAACTCACAGACAATTTTCATGATTATCGAGTTTATCAAGGAAGTTAACAAAATGCAGAGGACACGGTTATGCTGATAAGGCTGCTTCTTCAAAGCCAAACCCACAAGCAGGCATCTCTCTGGGCTTTGGCCTCTCAGCTACATGGCCGGTTGGTCGCTGCCCTTCTGGTGCAATGTTACACAGCTCATTTAGGGTTGCCAATAACTGCCCAAAGGGCATGCCATCTGCCATAAGTCTTACACAAAGGCACTCAGCTCTGGCTTCATACACATCTAGCTTTCCCAATTAAGTGCCTAGAAACACCCCACTCCACAAACCAGCCTCCTCTCCTGCCGGAAGGCACCCAGCTGTACTAGCTCTGCGGGCTGGGAAGTTCACCACTCTGACCTATCCTCTGGTTCTACTGCTGCTGCTGCACCTCTTCTTTCACTTCTCTAGTGCTAAAGATGTCTCCTGGACCAGGGAAGTCCAGTATGCAGGAGTCTCAGGGTCTGAAGGACTCGCTCCACTGTGGGCTCTTCTCTCTCGCTAGTAGTGAGATCGCCCTTCCTGCGTCTGGGTTGGCTCATTTTATACCCGGCAAGATAGTCATCACAATTACCCTTAACAGTCATTCACAGCTGAATAATCCTATCAGTGCCTTTCTCTTCCTTCTCTTACCCAGTCCCATCAGGAAAAGGTTGCTTGGTTGGAGTAACAAAGACTCTGGCTCTCAACACACTGTCATCGAGCAGGTTCTGTCTCATAATGACCCTCTTGCTAAAAGATCCCTATCAGATAATTCAATGTTACTTCAGAACTCATGAAAATTAAGAAATTTTGTTCATTACAAAGACTTTACCAAAAGAATGAAAAGGTAAACTACTAGCAGGGAGAATATCATTGGAAACTACATATCTGACAAGAATCTAATAACCAATATATATGTAAAACTTTAACAACTTAACAAGAAGATAGATACCCCAGTCCTAAAATGGGCAAAAGACTGACTTGCGTAGATAGTTCACCCAGGGGACATTCAAATGGTCACCAAACACAAAAGATGCTCCATGTCATTAGTCATGGGAGAGATGATGCACATGAAAACTACAGCCACCTATCACTTACCTCCCACTTGGATGTTTACGATGGAGAAAATGAGCAAAACCCAAGAACTAATGTTGAAGAGGAGGTGGAGAAATGGAAGCCTTCCCCACTGCTGGTGGAAGCACACAATGGCGCAGCCCCCATAGAATACACTGTGGCTCTTCCCCCAGAAACTAAACTAGATCTTCTCGTCCTCGGTCTGAACTGCACAGGCCTGCCGACGTGCGGATCCTCCCCTGCGGCTACTGCACTGTGCTCCGGTGGTGCAATGACGGGGTGACACGGGTCCTCTCCATGTGAGGTGTTCACCAAAGAATCCGTCTGTATGGTTCAGGGGTCAACTGTACGTTCCAGGGGATTTTTCACTGGGAGGGAGGTCCACACTCTTCACCCCCTCTCTGTACTTTCAAAAGACTTGAATGCAGAGACTCAGAGTGCATCCCTGTTCCCGGCAGTGCTCTCTGCAACAGCCCAAAGGTAGAACAGAAGCCCTGGAGGCGTAGTGGGTTGCGCCTGGGGCTGCTAACTGCAAGGTCAGCAGTTTGAACCGATCAGCCGCTTCTCAGGAGAAAGGTGAGACTTGTTGCTCCTAAGAAATTGATAACCACAGAAACCTACCGAAGCAGTTCTCCTGTCTATAGCGTCACTACGAGTCAGAAACGACTTGATGGCAGTGAATTTGGTTTTGGTTTGAAACCTGATATGGCCACTGGATGGCACAAATGGTAACCCCAAGGCAGTCACGGTGAACGCACCCAACAGTCCTGGCAAATGGGCAAAAGACTTCCTTGCATCGGTGATCTGTGTGTTTAAAGATTACAGTCAAGAACACCCTGGAGCAGATACACTCTGTAACACGGTGTTGCCATGTTTTGGAATTGGCTTAATGGCTGCAGGTGTTCGGTTTTGGTGCCTTCTAATACCATTGCTCACCTAGGAATGGCTCTTAAAAGTAACCTGCCGGGATCAAAGTGGTACAACCCTCGAAAGGTTGGCTCTTTTTTTTTTTTTTGGTGCCCCTTGACTCACCTGTTTGAAAGGTTGGCATTTCTAATCCACCCAGCAACTCCATGAGGGAAGCTTTGGTGGTCTGATCCTGTAAAGAGTGTAGGCAAGATGGCAGTCAGTTTGATTTTTATGCCTATGGGGCAGTTCTTATCTGGAGTTACCGTGATCCCTGCAGCAGCACCCAAGCACGACAGCGCATTGAGTAGAGGAGGAACAGAAAAGCTCTCTTGGGCAGCATGCCCTGGTTCCCTCTTGTCAGACTTAAAATAAACCCGGGAACTGTGCCCAGAGTTTATCTCAGTTTTCTAGTCTCACAGGTTATCTGGTGGCTCCAGGACCTACATGCATAACATGTTTGGATGCGACATTTTTCACTCATTCTTGTGATTGTAAGCTGCATTCTCTCTGTCGCAGGCAGGAAACGTGGTGACAGGCGAGATGGTGGAAGAGCTGATCCTTTCTGGAGCAGATATAATCAAAGTGGGAGTTGGGCCAGGTAAGGCTTTGGGGTCACACAGCAGAGGACAATGTGGGGCCTGGGCTTGGGGAGCCTAGAGATGGTGAGAAATACACGAACCACATGCTCAAAGTCTTTCTTCTGGAAACATCACTGAGCTTGCAATTTGAAATTTCATTGACCTTCTTGCTGATGACCCTCCGGAGCTTCTAAATGAGCGTGGCTGTGGTTAGAATGCGAAGCCTTGGTTCAGGACATGCAGCTGTAAGAAGAGAATGCAGATGTCACCAATGAGCTCACATACCTTGAAGGAGGAGCCCCTAGTGGCTTTGTAGTGGGTTTCACTTTGGATCTCTAACCACAAGGTCAGTGATTTGAACCCACCAGCCAGCCATTCCTTGGGAGACAGATGAGACTTTCTACTCCCTTAAAGATTACAGCCTTGGAAGCCCACAGGGCCAGTTCTACGCTGTCCTATAGGGTTGCTGTGAGTCAGCCTTGACCCGATGGCAGTGAGTGTGGTTTTTATGACTGACAGAAGAAGGGGAAAGGATAAGGAGAGACGGCCTCAGGGAACTCAGAGAGGGAGTGGGCCAAACGCCGATGCATTGTGTGGACTGCAGCCAAGGTCACTAAACAAAGCGTATTTGAATAATTGGATGGAAAACCAGTTTGCTCTGCCCACTTTGACCCAAGTCACAATAAAATTAAAACAAAACTAAATAAAACCCATGGGAACAGTTATGGGACATGAATGGCTCAAGGGACTGTCGATGTTGGAGGGGTTGTCAACAGTGCAGATGGGCTTGCAGCCCTGAGGGGTCTAAAGACCCCAAGTCTGGGCTCCTCCGGGGATAAACCAGTCACAAATTCTTGCCCGGGTCTCCTCTCTCAGGAATCTCTTCTAGGAGGACCTATTGGGAATTGTGAGTGGAGGGCAGAGATGGAGTTTTCATCCTCGTACTAATAATGAGAACAACAACAACAACATAGAAAAGACAGCCAAAGCCAGTGTCAACTCATAGTGACACTGCAGGACAGAGCAGAACGGCTCCCTGGGGTTGCTCTTCTCGGGCGGAGCGGCTGATGGGTTCGAACCGCTGACTCTGCAGTAAGCCTTCCCATGCAGCCTCTTCTTAGGTAGTGTCACGTCTCTCTTGGTGGGTCCTGGGGCTTTCTCCTTCCTCAGTGACAGCTCCAGAAGGGTCTGCCATGGTCCCAGGTTTCAGGTCTTGCTTGCACACCCCTGATGAACCAAATGCTAACATTGGCGAAACAGAAGGGAGGAAGCTCCGATGACTCCTAGCAACATGGTTTATTATTACTTGAAACAATTCTCCTGCCCCAAAGGAAAAAGGTGGCAACCTCTAAACCGAGGAGCTGGGGGGAAACTGCTGAGAAGCCGAGGACCTGGGGCTGTGGTGAGAAATCACAGCTGTCAACTGTGAGGAGGAGGACGTAAGAGAAGAGATTCACGAAGAGCCTTCTAGGCACCTCCCAAGGCCCAGCGTTTAACATCTGGGGAGATTTCCAAAAGTGGGCTGTTTCTTGCTGCTCAGCTTTGCCAACGAATAACGTGTCCCGAGCAAGAGAAGACTGGCTGCCTGGGTAGTACATCTGGTTTGCACGGGGGCCCCGAACCGATGGGGTGGTCATTAGAGTAAGAGGGAGACAAGGCCGGTCCCTTTCTGTGCACTGTCCTTGACGTCAAAGAGAGGACCAAGCCTGTTCCATGCTTGCAAGGAGCTCATCGCTTAGGATGGGCTGTAATAGACCAGGCTGCTGAGAGTCTAGACCAGGCGTCCGCCAACTTTTGAGACAGAAGAGCCAACCCTGTCCCTCACAACAATTTAAAAATTATCCGAGGACCATGAATACCTATTTTACAAACAAATGAAATCACTGCTATCTGAAGACTAGCCTTTGGAGATCACCTTTCACAGCTACCTCTTACCCAAACCTTTGAAGATTTCCCATTGGACTTCTGCGTGCCATCCAAGTACGGAAAGAGCGGCATGTGGCTTGAGGGCCAAAGCTTGCCGAGTGGGCCCGTCTAGCCTAGGCAGAGATCAGGACGGCGCTGCTTCCAAAGGCAGGTGACACAGCATGTAAAAGGATGTCGTGGTTGTCTTGGCACTCAGAGAGTTTTCCCTGGCGTGGTTGTGAGCATCCAATGACAGGCTTTGGCTTATGCACATCCTCTCTGGAGCTGCACGTACTCAGTTTCTCTAGAGGAGACAGTCCTTCCCCTGCCATCCCCCATCACCCCCACCCCCAGCAGATGGGACACAAGAGAGTAATGGGGCTTTCTTTGTGCCTGTTGTATAGAGCCACTCCTGTGCATTGGCTGGAGACAACATTTCAGCTTCACAGAGATCTTTAAGGTAGCAACACTGGAGTTGGTGTTTGCACACAAGGACTGGGTTAAAAATAGGACTGAGAACCAGCACTTCTACCCCCTAGACTTGAAAACAGGGGCTCAAAACAGATCCCTGTATTACTCCTGTGCCCACGGTGGTGCTATTCATAATAGCCCAATGGGAGAAGCAGCCAAAGTATCCATTAGTCAATGAAATGGATAAAAAAATGTACTATCCATACAACGGAATAGTATTCAACCTTAAAAGAAAAATGGAAGTTCTGAGACATGCCATGATAGAGATGAACCAGGGAACATGATGGTGAGGGAAATAATTCGGACACAAAAGAAGATTGCTACTCATGAAATATCTATATTAGGTAAATACGTGGAGCCCAAAGTGTACTGGTAATTAGCAAGGGCCAGAGGAAGAAGGCAGTGAGGATATAGTGCTTGTGGGGACTGAGTTTGTGTGTGCTGATGAAATTATCATTGAGTGGAATGCCCTTGAATTGTGTACCTCAGAGCTGTGGGACAGCACCTGCTCTGTTGTATGTACTTGATTGACTCCTCCTAGGGACGTTGGGAAAATATTAAAAAATGAATTCCCTTGCTCCTCTACTTGGGAGGAAAGAGATGCTGAAATTCTCCCTTTCCACCTGGGTCTTCATCAGGACCACTCCCGCGACTTGTTGGAAACGTCTTCCTTGGGTCTTTCCAATCAAGGTCATTGACCTAAGGTTTTGGCAGTGCCTCTTCTCCTTGTGCAAGGCCTTGGGCTGGCTGCCCTTGAGATGCCCGCTAGTCCTCAGGACTCGGTACCATTGTAGAGCTCTCGCTCTGCCTTCACCAGTGCATTGGGACCAGGAGCATTGTGGGCACTGGGACAAAGAAAGGCCTCTGAGGAAAGAAGGTCGTTGACTCCAAGAACATCATTGACGCATGGAAGCAGACAAGGGGGCTCCTGGGACATAAAGACATGGATTCTGTTCTGCAGTGGGACGCAGGAGAGAGGGCTGGCTCCCTGCCTTCTCACTGGCTTCTATGCTGAAGTTAGGCCTGAGGAGGGGAAACACCATTCTGGTCTGAGCCTATCCGTAAGTGACCCCTGAGAGAAACTAGTGGCAGCTCTGGTACCACTTGTGGCTGCTAGGAGCGGGAGAGGAGGCCAGGGGCTGGGAGTGGCTTCTCCCAGGGCTGCTGTGGGCTGGGGAGATGGTCACAGCCACCTCTCCCACCAGATTTCAAACAAAAGAAACCATCAAGTTGATTCCAAGTCATGGCAACTCCATGTGTGGTGAGTAGAACTGTGTGCACCACAGTGTTTTCAAGGCTGGGGTTCTCTGGAAGCAGATCACCAGATTTGTCTTCTGAGGGGCCTCTGGCTAGGTCTGGACAGACAACTTGTTGATTGGTAATGGGGTATTTAACCATTAGAACCACCCACGGACTCTTACAGGAGTCTCGGGGCAACCAGAACCTATACTGCCAGATAGTCTGGCTCATTCATTCATTCTCTAGCTCATTCATCTTTCCGGAGCAATTTATCTTGCCCTGATTAAGCACCAAAGAGCCCTGATGGCCTAGTGACTTATTAACTGCAAGGCTGGTGGTTCTAGTCCACCGTCTGCTGTGAGAGAAAAAGATGAGGCTTTCTGCTCCTGTAAAGATTTACAGCTTTGGAACCGCCCCCACCCCTTACCCCCACCCAGGGCAGTTCCACTTTGTCCTCTAGGGGTGCTGTGAGTGAGAAGTGACTGAAGGCAGTGAGGTTTTGATGATGCACCAGTCTCTCTTCGGAGCTTCGGACGCACAACAACAAATACCCACTGTTTTGGCTCTCTCCGAGCTCATCATCCATCAGAGAAAACTGACCCGCATCCCGCTGGAACACATCGTTATTTAAATACCTCTTTTTAAAATGAGTGCTAGGAAGAAACTCTTTCCCGAGGCTGGGAGAGCCTAAAAGATAACAAAGGGTTGACTGATGAGGTGTGGGTCCAGCGGGAAGCTTCCAGGCGGTGGGAACAGGATGCACAGAGGCCCAGCCGTGGGAAGACTCTGTTGGAAGGTGGAAAGGTCAGCATGTCAGGGGAAGCTCAGGTGGAGCAGAAGGAAGGCGGGAGAGCAGGGAAGCAGGTGGCTGAAGAGGCCAAGCATTTTTTTTTCCTATTACTGCATTATGACAGAATCTATACATCATCTGAATACATTGGCCACTGTAACCTTTTCTCTCTCTGAGATTCGATGGCATTGATCGCCGCGCGGTGGTGCAGCCATCGTCACTGAGCAGACATGAGGAGGAGGGCGGGTCTGTGGGGGACTTGGGGGTCCACAGGAGCTTGAGTTGAGCGGTCTCCGTAAAGCAAGGCGTGCTTGTTTGCTCGTTGGGAGTGAAGGCTGAGACTAGGGGGAAGGAAACTTGGGATTGATTGAGGTGCTGGGCCTTCCAGTGCAACCTGGCCTGGGTGTGATTGGGACTGTACAGAGCAGACGGGCACAGCCAGGACCAGAGTTGGCAGTGGAGTCAGCAGGAGGTCAAGGGCAGAAGCTGTGAGGCGCTAGAGCATGAGAGGCCTTGGCATGCTGAGTTAAGTGACAAGGGAGTTGGATAAGAGTGAGGTGTAGCAATGATGCTAGTGTTGGCTCTTTTCTAGAGGGCTTCCTGTATGCCTGTGGTCCCTGGGTGGTGCCAATCATTAACACACTCAGCTGCTAACTGGAAGAGTCCACCTAGAGGTGGCTCAGAAG